GAGAATCGTCTTACCAGTTGGTGTTGTGATCTTGGACACTGGTTTCAGTGTCTCAATCCGTCTGACGGGCTCACGATAGCCGGCTGTCAAGTTGATCTTGTCGGATATAAATGGCAACGCGACGGCACGCTCCCAGTGCCCAGCGACGTGCTCGTGAGAGGACCAGCCGGGTAACTCAATAGTGGCATCGTACTTTTCGCCGTTGTAAAGTTCGGCGAGGCGAATGGGGCCTTGAGCTACCATCCAGTCATCATCAGTTGCAATGAGCTGCGAAGAACCGTCGGAATACTGCAATTCAAGCTGTGCAAGGAGGCTTGTACGCATGCCATATCTGTTGCGTATACCGCCATCAAAACTCAATCTGCCGGTGAACCAGCCTTCAGCAAGACGGACGCCCAGACAATTGTCTCTGCTGTCAAGAAGGTCGGTAACATCGTAGGTCTGATATGTCAATTCGTTGCCGTAGCAGCTCCAACCGGGCGCGAGGAAGTAATCGCCAACACGACGGCCATTGATCTCTGCCTCATAAATACCCTGGGCAGTAATGTAGAGGCGAGCTAATGTGATGCCAGAATTCAATCTAAATGCCTTGCGAAAGAGATCTTCTGGCTTCGGCTTATCGTTGTCCTTCTCTGACCAAGGAGCCGAAATGAATTTGCCTTTCCAGTCACTTCGGTTGAGCAAGCCTGTCTCCAGCCAAGCCCGCTCGCTCCAATCGGAAAAGGATGTTTCTCCTTTGCCACGGACGCGGATGCAAACAGTGTATCTCTGACGCGAGGCGAGCGACTCAACAGCTGGCCATGGAACTAAATGGGACTCTGAAGATTCCACTTGAGAAGTGCAGACGACATGGCTTTTCTGGCCGTCGACCTTCTCCAGGCGCAGTTCGTACGCTTGCTGCTCAAAGCCTGAAGGGACATTGCTTAGGCGCCAGGAAATGCGTGGTTTGTGCTCATGGACACCCAAAGTGTTGGGGCTGCGATAATGCTCGAAACGAACATCAACAAATTGCAAAGACATGATGACAGATGTTAAGGTTCTAAAGAGAGACGCAATCCTTCGTATGTGTTGAGTTGCGGAGGCCACTCGACTACTACTTTTTATACCTACAGTGGAGGATGCACTAAAGCTAGAGGCCCAAGGCCCTAGACCCCCCGACTGATGAGTGGAGGCAGTGGGGTTTAGGCAGTTTCTCCAATTTTTGCTTGGCCGATCCTTCACGAGAGGGTCGGTACAAGCTTGCCCGAGTCTGGAGGGGGTGCATTTATCTATCGCCTACCGCCGAATCATCCGTGTTTCTAACTATTGACTCGCAATGGCTGCTGTCCAGGAGCCGAGGGATGCGAGCGACCCGCAGCTCTCAAGAACTCAGGTAAATAACGCTGGGTTTTCGTGATACTAACCACGGCCGACAATCAGTCCATCTTGGTAACAGTTTCCTTCATCTGGACCGTTCGGTTTCTGAAGAGTTGAGTAGAAGGATAGATGATGTTTTTTATCGGAAAATTGAATGCATTCGGTAAATACAATACCAAAGAGTATATCTATTGTTACTAGATACAGTGTCTGTATTGTAGCCTATTAGAAAGCTGGCAAATGAGCAGATATCCGGTAAAATTAAGACCTTCACCCTCTAGAGACACCGGTAAATGCTATCTGGTTTCCTTCGTCAGTGCTCTCAACAGCACTCACTAGGGATGTAAAGTTGTCCTCTGACTGACAATTGGAGCTTAATTCATCTGCTATTGCTTAAGCACCCGAGTGAATGTATGGAGCCCACCAATGTGGATCTTTATCATGATCTCTGGCTTGCCTCAGAGCATCATGAAGTGCCTTTGCCACCACCCAATCCATGTTTTCACTCAACCTGTTCTCTTTCAGAGACTGATAAAAGCTCTTAGTGACATGGGAATGGGAAGCGCCATCAGCATTTGGCAAAGATCCCACAACATGCTTAAATCCAGCCAATTGGAATGCACTGATGATGCCTAGCCCTCCATCAGTTGATCGCTCAGTCTTGCTCTCTGTCCCGGGGCACAATGAGAGGAAAGCGATTTGTGCCTTATCCGAGGTTGTGTTATCAGATATCAACTCCACTGTCAATCTTTCCTCGTCTGAGCCTGGTGATAAGGGCTTGCGAAGTTGGACGTAACTTTCGGACGGGTTGAGAGGATCAGAATACCCGTGGCAAGCAAAATGGATAGCATGGGACCTGCGTAGACTTTCTAATGTCTCTTCAAGTGAAGGTTCTGAGAAGGCCACCACCTTGGAGGTCTCTCCAAGAGTCTCCTCTATCGTTCGCAGCAGTTCTGGAGGATCCGGGGTCTGACAGGCATCTGAATCTCTGGGCGCCGTGACGATCGTGACTAAGGTCCCTTCGCCATTGTTACCAAAAGATGACATGCTAGCTCTTGCTTCGATTAAAGACGTGATAGATGGAATATAAGACGAAATAACACTATCCAAAGTGTTACCCTCGGAGTCTCCTGCTGCGTGAAACGGAAATACGCTGGCGATACCCGTCCCGATCCACCAAACTCGATGAGTTGGCGATGATGGCGGCGACCCTGCGATCTCCTTGAGAATCGGGTCGACACAAGCTCTCCATAGCCAGCTGAGAAAGTGCTCGTTGTACAGATCCTTGTCGCTCTCTGCATCTTGTGGATGCATGTCCGGGGACTTCCTTATACAACTGAAAGCTTTAGAATATTTGTCAAGAAATGAGTTCCCAATAGAGGTTGCATTTGGTAAGTTGAGGGACCTGATTCGTTGTCCAGACTTTTGGATAATGATGGCATCGCTGCTGAGGGGAGTGATATTCACTATCACGATTGACCCATTAGTGGCTCCCGCAACCAAGTCGTCTAGGTTTGGCAAGGTGAGGAACCCCCCAAAGTTTGGGAGGTTTCGGATCAGCGCGAGTTCAAAGGCATGGTCGTGGGCAAAGTCCTGAATTTCTGGTACAACTCGATCCTGTATAGTGACCTGGTCCATAGTATCTACACACTGGGCGGCTGTAGATCGAAACTCGTCAAAGCGTTCTGCCGATCGCTTACTCTGTTGTTCCAGAAGCGACAGTTTCTTTCTATACTTAATCAGATGACAAAGGATGATTTCACAACTGAATTCAGTACTCAGAAGTGCCTCCTCCGTTTTGCCAACAAGAAGTGATAGGGAGCAAGCTTCGGCAGCGAATCTCGACATTTGTTGGATGGCGTGTTGCTGGTCCTGGCGTGTGATAGATGGATGGCAGGCCATGGGTAATAATTGCAAAGCCTTTTGCGCAAGTAAATTCGCTTCTTCCAGCTTTCCGTGGAATTTGAAGATATGGATAGCATCTCTCGCTGCCTCAATTCCAAGCAATGGGTGTGCAATGCTGTTGACTTGCAAACCTCTACTAATGTCCTCGCGAGACGCCATAATCTCAAGCTGATCAGAATCGTTCTCATCCCAGGCAAGGTCCAACTGCCGAGATAGCATGATTGCAAGATTGGTAAGAAACCTCAATTGATTGAAATTGTCTTCATCCAACAAACTAATCGCGAGTTCTGTCTTTTCGATTGCTTCTAGAAGGTCATTCGTGTCTCTGTTTTTCTCATAGCGTCGCAGAAGCCAGGCCCCGAGGTTAGCTACTCTGGCAGGTTTCTCGGTATGACCATCAAGAGTCCAGGAAGCGGCGTCTCTTGATAATTGTATTCCAAACGGGAGGATTTCTGTATCCTCTTCAACTTGGTATTTCTTGAACAGGGTCCTAGCAAACTCATCGAGAGGGTTGACTCGGTCCTCGACATCATCTGGGATAAAAGGCAAAACTCGCCTTGAATATGAGGCCGCCAGTTCTATGTCGCCCAAGTTTCCTGACTTCTCATATAACTGTAGTGTCAAGGTACGCAGTATAAATGGTAGCCTCACCCGTATTGCCTCGTGCTCGGCATTGCTAGGATCTTCAAAGAAGACTTGCCAGCAGATAGTGATAGCTGCTCTAAGGTCTTCTAGGTCGTTGGTCTCTTTGTAACGAGATGGGACATCACAACCCAGGGCCTCGTCTATAATGACCGTGTACCAGAGAGATATTTCAGTAGGAAATTGCAACCAGCGAAATAGCACCATCTTGTGGCGTAAGGATTTCCGAATGTCATCCGGGTTTCCAGTTTGCTGATACCGGGTAATCAGTAAGTTTGCTAGCTTTTCATGAGATTCCATTTCAGCAGTGTCTTTCCCTGGCTCTGTCGGTATGTTATTGGTGGCTTCCAAGATTTCTTGGTCGAGCTTTTCCATATTGGATATGTGGTGGCCAGGAGCTTTATTAATTTCGAGTAATGGATGCCGTGTAGAGGAGCCATTTATGATGCCGGAGCAAGCACAGACTGTTTTATATATCCTAGACTAGGCTCTGTGCCGCTTATCGACATGCCTCTGAGGCCAAATGACGTACTGCCAAGCAGGCGGACGGAACAGAGTCTGACACTGGGCGGCTTAGCGCTTACTATTAATTGGCATATCATACCTCCCGATCCTTGTGGTCGCACGTGCAAGTCCAGGTGGCCGTGACGTCATCCGCGATATCGTGGCGAAAGAATACGTCACTAGCATTATCGTATCCGGGCAGACAAGTCATGCATACACCAATGGCCACGAGGGCAAGGATATCTTGGCATAAGCTATAGAGAACATGAAGGCGCTGCTCCAAGATATCAAGAAACGAGCGCTAAGTAGACCAATAAATAAAATGCTTACAGGAATGATTAACCTCACTATAAGACTGGAGCTATCATGATGACTTCCATTGTATAGACGATGAACTAATTATAGGGGTTCAATTTGCACCAGGCATGTTGCAGAGAAAGACGAGATTGATGATTAGGAGTGGTTGGCTGTTGCATGGAATGAAGAATTTGGAGTGTAAATAGACACTCGGAGCGATAGATACACTCGCTAAAGAAGCATAAATAGTGCTCAACGCTATATATTGATTAAAGAACTACTATCTCGCTGGATCTTTAACTCTTCTCCAAGGCTTTTAGCTCTGCTGAAAGAGAGGTTCTTAGTGGAAAGCTAAAAGTAATCCACTGCTCAAAAGAGTTGCCTCCTGATCTGTCCTTATCGGTTGGTGACCTCTTCTTGAGAACGTGTCCAATCTTGGGAAGCTCCAGCAGATCAAAGGAAGTTGGCTGAGACGTGACTAATACTTTAAGAGTATCATGGCACTCTTCTATGCTCTGCTGTCTCATTTCATCAGGCACCATGGTTCTGAACTTCTTGGTAAAGCGGCCTGTCATGAATCTCTCATTCTGGTTATAAGGGGGAATCACTGCGTAACTGCCACAGTATATGTCCTCAATCTGCCAAAGAGGACCAAGGTCAAGAATGTACAGATACAGAACCTTGGAACCCGTGTTCTGAAGCTTCAGTTCGAACATGGATGTCTTGCCTGTATCTTGTTCAACATTGACGAGAGTGCCTGGGCCAAAGTGATCCGTCCCTCGAACAATATTGATGTTGAACGATGCTCGGAAGTCCTCTTCCACAGTTGAATTTGAGAGGCCTCTGACAAGCTCGTATCGAGCTAAATGCTCCAAAACTGCAGAAACACCATCTGGAGTTGTTGTGCTTTGCGGCAATGAAGGGAGGTTCATCACTTCACCATTCCGAGTCAGAATTCTGTACTCGTTGTTGATAACCTGGACATGGAACCAGGATGCCAATCCCTGATTGTCAGTATGGGCCATCCCATATCTTGTCAAAGCCTCTCGCCAGGTATTTTGGGAAGATATTCTATTGCTCATAGACACCGGGAACTGGCCAAGTGCTCGTCTCGTTTGTGGCTCAGCAACGCAGTCATTTTCAGCAGTCGCAGCGGTCGAATCTTCCAAGCGTAGCAGGCTCGTCAACCGGCCAGCTCTTTCAACAGTTGTTTTAATCAGATTTGCGTGAAAGGCCTCATTGTTCTCAAGGAAGCTGGAAGGATACAGAATGAACTCATCGCCATCGGATACACCATGAGCCTGACCCGCCTGCAATACAAAGTGCTGACCATTTGTTACAACGAGCACCATCGATCGTGAGTTTGTAAAATTGCTCTCACCAAAGAATCCCTGGTCTTTGTTTCCATACAAGGCAGGATTTTTCTGAACTGAGTGAGCACGAAACTTGGAGCTGAGACGGTAGAAGATGTTCTTGTGTTTGCGGTTCAATCCGGCATCTCTTAGGCTCAAGTTTAGAAAATGGGATAAGGCGCCATGAGATTCACCTTTGTGGATTATCTCACTCGCCTCTTCGTGAGGACTACAAGCTGTAAGAAGTGTATAGCCATTTGGGTTTATTAGCAAGCTTGGTAGCATATCAACATCACGATACTCTGAGCCAGTCGCCTCCTTGTCTTGCTCCAACAAGCTTTTGTTCGGCGAAGTACGCAGCCGCAAGATCTGGGTCAGTTCGGAGGAATCGGATATCAGGACGGTCCATGCGATAGATACTTGCCGCGAAACAGCAATCAAGAACTAGAGTGACAACCAGACGCTTTTCCACCATTGCATTTAGATATACCGCTAATTTGTACCCTCCAAGGGGCTTCACTTCGTCTCCATTCTCAACACCAAGAAGAGCTAGAGCTAAATCTCCAGTATGCTGGTTGGAGAATGGTTTGGTGGTTTTGGGAGTCATGCGGGTGCCATGGCCAGAGTAATGGATGTAGATGTAATCTCCAGATTGAGCGGCATCGGCCAAGTCTCTGAAAGCCCTGAGTACGTTGTCATACGTTGGTAACGAGGCAGGATGTTCGACTGGCCCTGTGGTGCTGCTATCAGAGCTTTGCGTAGCTGTCAACGTCTGGATGTTGATGTGGAAAGGTTGCTGTTCTAGCAATGATCTGATTTGCTGCGTGTCGCGGACACAGCCCTTGAGCGATGCCTTGTATTCGGCAGGATAAGTGTCGATTCCAACTAGGATGGCATGATGCCCCGGCGAAACAGACTTCTTTTCGGCCATTGCTTGGTTTAGATCGTCTTGAGCTTTGATCCGAACGTCTATATATACAATGGTCCCTTTGTGGGCCGTGTCGCTAAAGGACTACTAATATGTCTGGTCACTCTACTCTTATTACTCCCAATCGTTGTCTGTAACGTGGTGTCTACAGCGGCGGTGAGGATTTTCATCGTCATGATGTCGACTATCGTGTATCTTTTAGTTCTCTCTGGGTTGACGAGGGCAAAGACTACAGAACTTGTGGTGGCTGGTACTACGTGAGTGATCACACTATGGCATAATTGCGATGTACTAACATATTTATCAGCTATACTACAGTTCTGATTGTATTTGTTTCAGGTACTAGTGACAAAGCACCTTGACATATAGGATACCTTCTAGTGCGATCAAGGGTTCATCGGCGCGAATGGAACCTGATCACAGCTCGTGCCGTTGACCGAGCCCAGCCAGCTATGAAACAAATGATAGGGCAGTTCTTTGGGAACTGAGTACATCTCCCACCAACTTAGTGCAGATGACTTGGCGGTGTCTCCATCTCCGGGTGATCTCTAAACCCTAGCTTCTGGGTCCATGTTGGCTGCTGCAACTTTGCAAGGTTCGCCCACGCTCGAGACAACCTGGCCATTAGCTGAATAGCAATACACATCCCGATAAACTCCTTCTAATCCCTGCGGAGGCGTAGCTAGAATCTGGTGGTAGAGTGTCACTTCCGCAACAGCCATCAGCGGCTCGGAAGAAGACTCGTTGAAATAGACAGTATTGCGCTGACACTTGTTGGTATTCAGAAGTTGGGGGTTGTTCAAAAGTGAGTGAAAAGTGTGAGCTGTATAAGGGGAGTTATCTGTCGCTTTGAACGAAATGTCGAATGCTTCAGCGTAGATTCCAGGCCCGGAAATAGTGTTTGGCAGAAGAAAGGGCTTCACCTGGATACTATTGAAGCCATTGGGAAGAGCCCTCGCAGCTGACGTATCAGGAGAAAATGTCGCCGGGAAGATGGTGGTTCCTTCAAAGGGCGAAACACCCGAGGCAACACTAGGAACAATTGCCTGAAGCGGTTGTCCATTAGTCCCACCTATGTAGTAGTTGACAGGGACGCCTATTGGCGTTTGTCCGTCCTTCGTGACATCAACGAAGGGCACAATGAGAGAACCCTGCATGAGCGCGTCTATCTGTAGTGGGACGATGTTCAGTGCTGTCATGCGAATATCCTTGTCATAGCCAGCTTGTACAATGAGCGGGTGCTTTCCAGCTGGGAAAGACGGTAAGATGCTAGTGTCGATGCTTAACGGATCAAATCCAGTGATGGTCTTGACAAGACTTTTGTTGATAGGGACAAGGCAATATGCTCCAACCCATTGTCAGTAGACTGCAAAAGTTTCAAAATGGCTTGCTTCATACGTACTGGTATTGGCTGACATTGTCCTGTTGGCAGGATTGTACCTTGCAAGAGTATTGGGGTCAGCCTGAGCCTGACAAAAGGACACTAGTTGGCCAAAAACGGGAAGAATAGTTGACAGTTTCATCGTGGACTTGCTACGTGTATGAATCTCGTTAAGGAACTGATGGTAAAACTTGATAGAGTATTTGGGTAATTGCAATACTTATGGCCAGGACATGGTTATACTCCGTTGACAAAAGATACATAAGGCTGATGGCGCCGTCGAATGCAACCTCCTTCGGACGAACTTAGACAACATTGCAGTGAACATAACAGGATCCAGGTGAGACATATGCCGCGTTTGTAGTACTCTCACCAGTAAGAACTGGCTGAGCGACCTCGATCATGGCTGGTTTTCTCAATGGTCGGGGATGGGGGTGGGGGCAGCTCACCGTTAATCCTGAGACAGACGGTAGCTTTGCCAGGTCTGCTGATACATTGCAAACTCCTGATCTCCTAGTGTAACCGGGGCTCCCCGACACTTTGATCGCAATGAAGGATCCGTCTCGTAGGGCTAGGCTCTCGGCAGTGTCATACCTAGATGCCCGTCAAGATGCCCTCTACAGCGATTTTCCGGTGACTTGTCGCAAAGCAAGAGAAGTCAAAAACAGATAAAGGCAAACATGGCAAAATGAAAGCAAGTACACTGCGGGCATTGGTGGCGTCGCGCGATGGGCGGCCGCACGGACAAGTGCTCAGTGAGAATCCCAGTTTTTGCAGTTCGGAAGATGCACGATCCGCAGTATGTCTTAGATGTAATCAATAGTCGGAAGCCCAAGTCAGCCTCCACGTCATACATTCCACCAGCTGACAGATTGTGTAACACACCGCCTAGCAATAGTTTCTCCTGTGTCATTAGACATTGATGTTGGCAGCCACCCAATTCAATGATAGCGATTTGGTTTTGAGCTCAGCTTATGTGCGGCAGTGAGAGTCTAATAAGCTCTTATCCTACCTATTCTAATAATCTATACTGATATTGACTATATAGAGACAGTTGTCAAGCTGGCTAAAGAGATTAAAAAAGCGCAAGAGGCAGACTTTATTACCCACCTCATCTCTACTATCCTGCTCCTTATTAGAGGTGCAGGCAGCGTTATTTTCCAGGCCGGTTTCAGATTCATAGGCCGAATGCTCGTTGGTCTGGCCGAGGCTGGAAACACAGGTGTCGGTATCTACACCGCCTTAGGCACGCCCGAGTCCGTCCCTATGTTGATCTTTGGTTTGGTTATGAGCGCTGCAAATATCCGAGATGTAGCCAGGGTGACCCAGGGTGCCAACTTAAAGAGGTCGATGAAGTGGGAGGAGATTGCCGACTTCAGTGCGGAGCCCGCCATGCCTTCTTTATATTCCTTTTATAAGTTCGCAGATCTACTATACGAGCTCAGGCTGCTTATCTAGGGACTGGCCATCTGCCTAATAAACAGAAAGAACAGTATACTTTACTTTACGCTCTTTAATATACTTATAATACCTATATAATTAATTAGGCTTTAAAAATCTTAGCATTTGTTTCTTATAGCTACAATTACGCGCACTATGTAATAATTTATAAAAGTCCTATTTTATTTAATAGATTAGAAGGTGGGGATGTATTGTAACGACCACTGCCTGATGCGTTCGTCAAAAAGGTATAGTGGCAGAATAGCCATGAAGCAAAACCAGAAGATGCCGGCCAGTGTTCCAAATTCCTTCAAGGGCCCAGAAGATAGAGCCCAAGGCACAGCCGCATATGAAAGGCCAAATGCCATACAACTTTTGACCACATTGATGACTGCTGCGATGCCGGTGGAATGCCAGGGATAGCAATCGATGCTGTACGTTAACAGGACGTTCGCAGACGAGGTGATACCGAAACCAAGGAAAGCGAATCCAACTGCTGAAACAATCCAATGGGAGTCTTTGTCAAGAGCAATACCTAGAACAATAAGGCCGAGCGGACTGAGAATAGCTCCAGGAAGTGCTCCTGGCAGACGAGCGCCTCGAATATGGAAGCCGTCGTTCTTCTTCGCACTGCGACGGGAGAGAACGTCGGCAATGAGACCGCCGATTGGTATACCGAGAACAATACCGACCAGGCTCGAAAGGTTGAGAAGGCTGAAGCTTAGTGCTGACCACAACGCAGGGGGGCTTTGCAAAAACGCAGCCAGAACGACCGAAGCAGTTACAACGAATGCAATCAGGACACCGTTTATAATTCCCGTGACAAAGACTGCAGGCGCAAGGAGGAGCAAAAACGGTTCGACAATGAACCACAGAAGAGGCGACCTGAGCAATGTCGGAGCTGGGGCACCCTTTGGTCTTTTCAGGTAGAAGGATTGCCACAACCAAATTTGAAACAGCGAAGAATCGCCTGGCGTTCCTGATCCCGAAGCAGAGCCCCTTGGTAGTGCATCTTCCTTGTGCTCCATGCGCGGATTTGCAAGCTCTGATCCTTTGCTCTCATGGACGGTTTCCTCGTGTGAGGCAATACCCTGGATAGAATTCCCAGGTTCTGACTCGCTGGTGGGATCCATCGAGTGATCGTGATATGTTTCCGGGAGCATGATGATTGTTCCCAAGAGATTGATACCCGTAATGATTGCCAGGAACTTGAAGAACCAGGGCCAGGTCCCCGTGACGTGAGCGACGACGCCAGCTATAAGAGGCCCAAAAGCTGTGCCGAGTCCAAGAGACATCATATATGTGACCATAGCTGAGGCAAGGTGTTTCTCTGGGAAGCAGTCTGCAATAATTGTTGGGCCAAGTGCCTCAACCATGCCTGCAAAGAATCCGCCCAAAATTCTTGCATTTCTGAAGTCGTGCGCGTTTGTAATATAGATGTTCCAGATCATCGAGCCCATCAACACGAAGAGAGAGACTATAATAACATATCTCTTGCTGAAATAATAGGCCAACGGTCGCGCCAGGAGATTCTAGATTGAAATCGCGATTAGCATCCGTGTTGCTATCAACAAAACGCAGCTGATCCGGAAAGATGCTGAGAGGCAAATAGATACTGTAGTATTAACTTACCGCTAATCCAATGCTTAGGAGAGGATAGGTTGTCAGGTGGGACGCTTCGGTCGTGGTGATGCGTAGCTGCGCGGACAACAACCCCATGGCAGGGGACAATCCTGACATGTAGATATTGCCAAGAGATATGTAAACCGAAAGGTTGATCAATATGCCAATCCGCCACCACATTGGCCACGTCTAGCGTTAAAAGCCCCCGTTAGCTTTCATTCATGAAGATTTCGAACCATTCTCGCATCATATTGCATGCAGATGGTATGAACACGACATGGCCGAGTGCGACAGCGCAAAATAAAAGGCGTGAACAAACCATGGAATCATCTTGTCTCACGAGTGGTGACATCTTCATTACTGAGTATGTGAGTTAGTGCAAAAGTCCAAGTTCTCGGCGGGTATAAGATGTATGAGCATTGTAAATAGCGAAAGGACCTGGAAATTGGGATCGCTGCTGAATGCAGGTGCTCTTAATCGAATTCCCAAATACCAGAGGGGGCAAGGGAACTAGACCACGTTTAGTAGGATTAAGGGGACGAGCGGCATGAATCACGGCCTTTCCGCAGCTCCGTGCCTGCCGGCCAGACACACCCCACGTTTCCCCAGACTTTCTCTGTGTCTCGACCCCATAACTTTCGCATCTTCCGAAAGTTAATATTAACTACTTATTTACTACTAATATATTTTAGAAAAAGAAACTACTTTATAAGCTAATTAGGGTTAAAAGCTATTATAATAAAAGCTTTAAGCTAAATTCTTTATAATAATATTTATAACTTAATATAGCATAAGATAATAAT